ACACACACACACAGTGCGCGTAGTAACAAACATCGCACTAATGAAGCGCTAGCCAAAAGCTACAGGCGTGTACAAGTAGTATCCGTGTTGGTCGTAGCTCGAAGCAGCCCCCGGCCGGACACACTGCCCACCAAACCCGGGGCATGTGCGGGACGGTGCCAAGTCACGGAATCGCTCACAGGTCCGTGTCAATCGGCGCTTCGTCGAAGACGGCCATAATCTCATAGACCGGGGCTCTGACCCTGGTCCAGCTCTCGGCCCAGGCCCGGGACATGCAGCCCCACATGGCCCCACGAACTGGCGTCCAAAACGTTACCCGTGTAAATACCCGCTCTGCTGATGGCGATGCCCTCCAAGTGCTCTGGGCTGAGCACGCCGCAGTCGAAGAAGACGTGGTTGCCCAAGAGAAGGACGAAGCAAAGTCCGGGCGATGCCGTAGTAGCCGACGCTCTCTCCGCGTGCACAAGAGTCACTAGAGAAGCTGTATGAGCAGTTGTATGAAGGACTGTGCGAAGCAGCCGAAAGGAGAGAACAGGCCAGTAGTTCTTCGGACTGAATCAGGGAGTTGAAAGGGTGAGGGATGGGTCTGCTTCTCCGGAAATTAGGCTTCCTGAGGGAATAGGGTTCAGTGACGTTGCCGCTGCATACATCAATGTGTATGGTGCAGAACCATCGTTTGTGCAACATCCTGTGCCGGTCCCGCCAGCCGAATTTGTTGCAAACGCTAGAGCCCCTACTGTGCCCCTTCCTCCTGATTACCCCTGGCCAGTAATGCCAGAAAATCAGTTTCGGTACGTTGATGATGTCGTTGAGGTGAGCAGTGAGCCCAGCAAAACTTCGATAGGAGAGTGGACCACTGATTCGGGTATGCCTAGGGGTCCTGGGTTAGTGGTGCAAACGTTGCTGCTGTGGTCGATTCAATCTGCTGCTGGTTATAGGCAAGGTGAGCCAGACGATGACGGTACGTGGGAGTTTTGGGTGTTGATGCCTTTTGCAGCATACTGGGTGCTGTAAGTGCTTGTCTTTGGGTAAAATGGGGGAGCTCGCCCTATTCCGAGGACCGGAGCGTGAATTGTGACTCAGCTGGCCGAGGGCAAGATGTAGACGCTAGCGTGTGCAGTTCTGAGTCTGTTACACCTTTGAGAAGACGACGATCTGAGGGACTGCAGTTTTCCCCAGTGGTGAATGTGACTATAGCAGCAAGGTCTCCTGATAGGGACTTGAGGGCTGCGGTTGAGTATGATGAGTCTGGAAGAGCACAGACACGTTCTGGGAGTGCTTCTACTTCCAGTGGTGGCCGGCTGCAGAACCCAGTAGGCCTCCCTAAGGGTTTAGGGCCTGAAAAGACCCCAGAAGTGTCAAGGAAGGAGCCGCAAAACCCGGTAGATTCCCCCTTGGGTTTGGGTCCTGATGGGAACCTTAAGGAAGAGCCGAGGAAGGAGCTGCAAAACCCAGTAGGTTCCCCCCTGATTTTAGGTCCTGATAGGAACCCTAAGGAAGAGGTGAGGAAGGAGCCGCGGAACCCAGTAGGACCCCCCTTGGGTTTAGTTTTTGGTAGGAACCCAAAGGAGGATGCCAAGACGGAATCGCGAAACCCAGTAGCTGCCCCTAATGGTTTAGGTCCTGGTAAAGACCCTAAGTAAGGCCTTCCTAAGGCAATGCTGAATGAGTTCCGAGCGGACTCCACAGATGCTTTCCCCTGCGGGTTGGGCCTCGATAGGACCTTGGGTGAGGAGTCGCATTGTCAAACTGGGCAGTCAGCGGCTTCTAGCCGGCAAGTCATGGGTCCTCTAGGCGTCAGTGATCCTTCTGCGAGGGGAGCTGATGCGGAAGATTGGGTTCGTAGACCTTGGGGAGTGAAACAAAAGGTCATCCTGAGCTGTCCAGCTACGGCACCGGCTTCCGTCGTGTTGCTTATTCAGAACGGCGACTGCCTCCATAGTGGGCGCAGTTGTAGGCCAATGCAGTGCTCTGGGGCTCCAATACTAAGGTCACTGTGTCCCGTGTGCTTCGCTCCAGGAGTGCTACCATCTGGGCACCGAGGCGCTGAGAGATCGTATAGGATTGTGTATTTCACTAAGTCTGCTCACTGTGTACATGACAATAGGGAGTGCCCGGCCCTGTCAAACCGAGAAAATATCGAAAGCAGGCGACTCTGCAAGTGTTGCAGCTGGGGCCCCTGATTGTACGAACAAGTGCACAGCGATGAAAATGGAGAACGATCCATTTTAGGGGAGTGTGTGCAGAGCTGTGCATCAAACACGTTCTCCTGAGGCTGGGGGCTTGTGCATGCTGCCGATGTGCGAAGCCATGTTGGCTGGAAAACTTCGGGGTGGTGGGTTTCGATATGGCCCAGGTTCCCCAGGACGTCTAGGCATTTGCCATTCTCGGCAAAAGCCAGCAGATCATGTGTCACATCCTTTCAAGAGACTTTCAGTAGCAGCTTTGTATTCTGAGGTTGATGTGTACAGCTCAGGAAGCTACGAAGCTTGTTTGTTGGGTTGGTGTGAAAAAAGGTTGTCCGTGCGAGGGCATAAGTCCGATCAAGAGCTTGTTTCCTGCTTCGGCAATAATATTAATAACAATACGGGTGTAGTGTATAAACTCGTGTTAATATTAACACAAAGAACAGCAACACATTATACGTAAAGGTTCCTGCCACTTGCATGTATCCATGCCTGTCGCTCAAGGTTCTAGCAGAGTACTGATCTACAGCTGTGCGCGTGTGGCAAAAGAGACACCTGTGTTTGCCTGTGTCCTGACGCCTTGCGAGGGGATACACGCCCAGGTTACATCTCAGGAGGGGGGGGCGACGGCGAGAGGATCTAAGTCGCAACGGTCACAAAGGGTCGAGCCAGCAGTTCGTAGACACACTCTGTGTGTGTGTGCGCGTTACTAAATGACACACCAGCGGTCTTACAAAGGCCCAAGCTTATGCAATCCAAGAGGAACCGAATTCTTGCTATCGTTCACACAACAGCGTTTCAATTACAAGTTGAAGCTTCCAGCCGACCGAGCCATGCCACGGTCAAGCAACTCTT